GGTACCACTCGGGAAAAAAATATAAAAAGGGTAAAGGCTGTATGGCTGAAACGAAATGTGGCTTTCCAACCGAAAGCCGATTAATTTCGGACAAATCACTTATAGCATTTATCAACAAATGGCAACATTGACGGCGCTGGGTAGGGAGTTTGAAGTGGGAGTCTTGAAGACTAGACTTAGTTTGTCCGCGCAGCTTTCATTGCGAGGGCATACTTCAACTTCTATTAGAATCCATTCGGAGATCCAACTACCGTCTTTGCGCAAGACAACGCAAGGTGAAAAAGACTGTCAGAGAACCAGACGAAGAATGCAACAGAATTAAATTGTATAGGCTTGCTATTTGATTGGCTAGAACGAGAAGCTAGTCTTGTTACCAGTGTTACTCTGAGAACCGGCCGAGAGAATTAGCTGATTGAATCACCCGAGGCAGATCATCGTCAATGTTGATCTCATTTCTGCTGCTCTTCCTGCTGTTCGCAGTGGGCTTTTCCTCATGGTGGCGTACGATGGGACCAGCGACAGATGCGGGCCGGATACTCCGCTTTACTCCCTTAGCCACTAGAAAATCTTCTGAGCTCTCAGAACGAGACGCCACTATCACCTTTGTTATCGAAGACCGCCGTTCTCGCGCAGCGCGAAAAGACTGGGAACAGTCAGTGGTACCGGTAATTATGATGAGTTACGCCGAAACGCTGCTTCTATTTTTTTGGTTCTTTCTTGTTCTGACAGCTACCACCGTGGCCGGTTTATCCCTTCCACTGCCGCAGCCACTGCCAAAATAAAACTTTTCTGCTTGACCAAAGTCGTTGATCGTCGCCGCCACCAAACACTTTGCTTCTAGCAGTGCTGCTGCTCTTCACCTCGAAACCTCGAGGCGTCGGAAACTTTGAAAACTCTTGCCATCGCTGTTGAAGAACGCCTGTGTCAACTCCGCCACTGCACTACTGCCCCACTTCCTCTGCTATAGCCCATACTGCTCATCGCTACCAAACCACCTAACCTGGATCCTTTGCCCTCCCATATATGTTTTAGTAGCAATAGTGTGGGAGGCTAGCACCAATCTACACTTTTTTTTTGCTTAGTTTCCCTCGAAAATTAAGCTTACTTTTTGTTCACCTGAAATTTCTTGGTCACCTAAGGATGCTGCGATCGTCTTGAGCCCTAGGCTCTAGCCCCGTACTGCCTTGCCCTGCTAGTCTGCTAAGTGAAACGCAACCGCCGAACCATAAACAAAGAAAAATTCTTTTTGGATAATCCTCTTTGTCAGAGGTATCAATATTAGACATGGCTTTATTAAAACTGCACATTTTTTACCTTAGCCCTTTGAACTGACGTGACCGATTTTAACGGAGCATTATTAAAATATGTCAGCATTTATATTCAGAGTCTTCAGAGATTACTTGAGCGTAGTACACGAGCATTTAAATACATGTGAATAGCTTGTCATTCATCGGTGATGGGTCAACTCATACTACGCATGTTCTACTCGGTATGGTAAAGGTTCTGTAATTTTTTCGGAAGGTGAAAAATAGGAATCTTTTCTTAAAGATTCCTATTTTTTAACTCCACTTTTACTACCGCGGTGCTTATGAATGAAAAAGTATGGGGTTTATTAAAATTTTTTTCTTGGTGCAGTAGCATGACGATAGCGAATATATATACCAATAATGGGGATCAAGGCACTGTAATAGGAACACTCTTAATTATAATGACAGTTATTATAATTATTAATTTGAATCTGCATATTATCTTGATTATAGAGTTCCTTGTCGAAAGTTATGAAACTCTGCCTCTTTAGGGAATTCGTTATCGAAACTATTATAACCTATTGGGATGTCGGTATAACGCTTGGCTCACCTATCTGCTATCTCCAAGAAGCTTAAGATATGCATAATTTGTAAAACATTTTATATCAGTGAAGGAACATGCTGAAAAACAGGTGCCACACACACACACACACACACATATATATATATATATATATCGACTGAAATCTGGCCTTCTGTATGTAATATATATATATATATATATATATATATATATATATATATATATTTATTATATGTGTACAGTTTTTTTAACTTTCTCATTTCTCTTTCTGGCTCTATGATTATACAATAACATTCATTTCTCGCAGGAGTTGAAATTGAAATGACTGAGCGGCAAAAACAATCATTTAATCGAAATATGAACGAACTTGCATTTAGCATATTAATCAGACTGCCTCTTTAATTGCTACACGCATTTGTTGACTGTGGACAGATCGCTCTTCAGGACTTTATAATACACGAATTAAAAAGAAATAGAAAAAATTAATGCACTGTAGCTTTTGTATGACGATCCCGATCTGTTTAGAAAGTAATGTCAGTGGCTGTAGCTCTTAGCAGCAGCACTAAAGCCGCAATCATTATGATAGAGCCCAGATCTTGTGATGCTAGAAGAAGGCACATCTACTAGACGTTCGTGGGAGGCTGGTAGTACTTGGGAAAGGGGCAACTCGAATAGTAACTACAGGGATTGTTCCTTGGCAACGGGGCGAGCTGTAGTATCATTGTATGATGATGTGGTCCTCATGGTCAGGTCATTTCGATTCCACACTTTATGCGTGTCTTGTTATCAACCATCTATAACAGGGGTGGCAGTACGACGATGTATGAAGCTCAGACACTCGGGTCGTACTTGAGTATAGGGTGCATACAACCAGCACGACGTTAAGGAAAGGATTTGAAAAATTTTCGGAGACGGGTACATCCCCTCCCGTAACCCTAATATTACCTTCACGATTTGCGGTTATAGCTAGAAATGGTGAGCAACCCGTACCTTAATAGCATGGTTAGAAATAGAATGGGAGATAAAGAATTTGGTCGCCCTCATTTACCACAGGTTGAAGAGGGAACCCTGCTGTTAGGGGTAGCCAGCGATAGGTAGCAGACGATCTAGTTAATTAGCAGCCACTGTGCGCGAACGCTTGCGTGCCACTGCCTCCCTTTCCCGGTTTTTTCGCTACTACTGCTACTGCCAAGAAATCGATAGGTGTCCGACTGCTTAGAATGGCCACTCTACCGCGGTAAACGGCCAGGTAAGTGTATGGACACCCGAAGCCGGTGATGGCATTTTGCCTTGTTGACTAAAGAGGCCTGCTGCTGCTGCAAGAAGAAGAAAAGATAGCCTTTCCGTGTTACCTTACGTAAGTGGAACCACTGGGGGACCTTCTCGTGGCGAGTGGCTAACGGAGTTCGTTTAGGGGCAAAAGGGAGAGCTGAATCAAACAAGTTTTACCCCTCAACTATCCCGTAATCGCTTTAGCCTCGACCAACCTACAACTATGTTACAAGCGGCCTGAGAGAGTTCGCTCACCAGCTTAGGTCTCCCATTTCTTGATACACTGGCTCCCTGTGCGCGTGAGCCAATTCACTACCATACTATTTCTTCATAGAAGGAGCCTGACTGAGGCTGTCTGCTCGCGGAGTTGAAGCAAGCCCCTAGCGTAGCCGTACCTCCCAGTAGGCTTGGTCGGTAATAGAGGACTAGAGCTAACGCGACCAAGCGAGCAGCTTGTGCAACACTCCGTACTGCAATGGTTGAGAGCCGAGCCTTCACTGAGCTCCAGTTGAGAGTGAAGTCCGGCAAATCAAGCGAAGAGAAGACACAGTTTCGGTGGGCGCAGCATCGGCCTGCATTTATGGTCAACATAATGTCTGTGAAGGGAGCGTCAAGAAAATACCATGAGCAAGGGAAACAGTGCACGATAACCGAAGAATTCGTGATTTACTAGTGACCGTCAACCGTCAAGTTATTTCAACCCAGGCAATAGCTGGCACAGCCAATGTAAAAGCCATCTTAAGAAAAATAAACCGATTATAACTGATTTAACTTGATCGAGCAATTTGCAGTTATCGGATATTCGCCCCCCGTTCACAATACAACCTGGTGAAAACAATGTGAAACCATTCCAAGAGCGTATAGTTACTACTGTTACAACTAGATAATACACAGATGGTCATTGCACGCTTAGAATATTAAATATACTGCACAATTTAAAAACGCGCTATATTTGACATAGTTGGAATATGCCAAATCTAGAATATACGAAAACAAAAAAAACCTACACTTATAAGATAGAATCGCTTCGCTTTTAATATAACTATATCTTCTGTCCGCTGACCTATTTAGATTTTGAGTCTGAAATTATTTAGGAAATAAAAAATGCAATACTATAATAATGCAGGTGTTATAGCACTGTTTCGGCGCCGTATCTCGCGCCTTCGTTTATAATGAAAATCTCAGCAATCCCAATTCACCATAAAATAAAAATTTACTTTTGAATATACATAACGCAATATGAATCATGATCTTTAAAACACCCGAAATCATCTTTTATGTGGGACTATACCTCGATAGGGCTTCGCTTCAACTCAACGGTACTCGAACTCAGTACACGAAGTGCTCAGTAATTCACTTTTTCATATTATACATATACTATATATTAATATATATATATATATAGTATTCGATCAAGCAAAATATTTAAGCGTACAGCACTTGCTTCTATCATTACTATCATCACAGAACAGGATGCCCACAGTATACGAAATCACACACAGGCAGGATTTGCCAATGGTCCAGATTTTTCTGGCCCGATCTGTCTGATTATAAAGCGAAACTTAACGGTTCATACGAAAGCTTTTCCATTGAGGCAACGCCTTGGGCCAAATAAATAAAATGCGCAACTGGTAAAAAAAAAACCTTCGCACCAAACGCTAAGCAGAGACGAGAGTAGATCGGACTGAATAGCTTAATCTAAAAGGGCTGGCTACCTCCTGTTGACGACAAACGGTATAAAGATTTATGAATAAGTAAGTAAGGATTCCAGATAAGTGCCGTTTCAAACATTTTTAAGCTCCTACGGATTATCCTTTCCTCCGTGTAACCCTCAACTAGACCGTTGTGACTGATTAACATATCCTTTGGGGGCTCTGTGCTGTGTGCTTCGTTTTCAGGTACAAAGGGTTCCTTAAAGATTGTCCAGACGGTCTTCTCACAGAGCAGGGGTTCCTCCGGATTTATAAACAGTTCTTCCCCCGGGGAGACCCCTCAAAGTTTGCGTCACTTGTCTTCAGGGTGTTCGACGAAAACAAGGTAGGTTCGTGCGGTACGATTTGTCATATTACTGATGCGCTAGAAGATTGTAACATCCTTCTAAAAGCATTATTCTACTTGCGCATCTAATGCTTAAATAAACGTCTAAAATGCTGTTTTCTACCGCCACCACTTCTATGTATATTTTACCTTGAACCAATATGTCATAGCGATGATTAAAAAAAAAAAAGACTTATTTATAAGAATATTCCTGAAGAAGTAGCACGACTTCGTTACAGGCTTGTTTAAACACAAATGATGGCTGAAAATCCATTGATTTCTGTATTGTCGCCTGTACAATTGTATGATCTTCTAAACAGCTTATGTAAACAAAAAAACACGTCTCTCAGCTTTAGTTGAATTATGGATTGTAGCGGTATTACAATTATGAAGCGATTCATGACAAACTGCCGTTTGTAGGCAGGCGGAAGTTTTCACCTCCGTTCGCCGCTTGAATAACGGGCGCCAAGTATAAAACTGCGTCGTCTTCGATTTCAAACGTGTTTTTATGTGAACCATTTACGTAAGATTATTTGAGAAGCTATCGTGTATGAGATATATCGGTTCTTCAATTGCGTGTTCCCATTTGGGTTACGTTCCAAGTGGCTCTAAGAGACTTCTAGTTCTAAGAGGCTAGGCTTCTAGTTTAAGTACTAGTTTAGAGAGCATATATATGTTACATACTGAATTGCTTATATTCATTGACAACGGATTTTTATCCTGGTAGAGTCAGAATTCGAGTAACACATTGCGTATTTATTACTAGTTTTAATCTGATGTAACAAGAAGGCATAGACAACAGGTATTTTCGTGCGGAGGTTTGGATTATGGCGTAATACATAATATGTGTATTTGAATATTATTAACTTATCGCAAAATACGCTCGTACTTCCGTGAGTTGTTATTATTGTGCGTTACTCTGATGTAGCCGGTGTGCGCGAATAGACGCTTCAATTAAATAACTGTTGGACAGTTATCAATACTTGGTCTTGCAAAGCTTTTAATTTTATAAACGCTGCAAAGATTATCCAAGTCTTTGCAAATCTTATAGAACATTGCGCCGTTCCAGCACTCGTAAAGATCAACTTTGCTATTATTAACGCTTCTGGCGTTACATAAAGCGACCATTGCTGTATTGCTAATAATGCTTGAATTTATCACGCGGCGAGTAGCAGCTCGTTGTGTTTCATTGAAGGTAAGTCTGATAATATCCATGTGGGCAAGCAATGAGCGAGAGGAATTCGCTTAACACGAATCTAAGGCTCAAAGAGACAAAAAAATTGCAAGGGTTCCCGCCGAATTTCTTGGACGAAAATGGCTATACATAGGTAATCGTATGTACGACATTCGTTTGTAAGAAAAAGCAAGCTTTGTCTACTATAAAAATCATGGCGGCCAACCTGCATGAGAAGACCTAGTTTATCGGCAGATCGGGCCTATATATCCGGATAATAGCATGCACTGCATCGGTATTGCGCAATTGCTGATAATTTTTTCTAAAAACCTATTTAATTAAAAAAGAAGTAGATAGTTCCATGATGTGAATTCACTTGTTTGTTAGCATCGTTTCATAACGACATAAGGTTTTACTAAATGCAATGTCCATTGTGTTTGTAATAGACCACAAGGAACACAAAGAATTACTATAGAAAACGGAATAACCTAACTAGCGCTATGTTTATTAGTTTTATAAATTATACCACGATATACAGCTGAAAGAAAAGAAAGTTAGCTATAGGCGGCCATATTCTGATAACATTTAAGCTAATTCTGAATTTGCCTGCAATCATCAAAATCGAAACACGTATTGCTTAGATATAAATATTGCATTTTGGAATATGCCGTAAGATCAGGAAACTCGAGGAATTATTCGGATCCGTAAAACCACCTAAAAAAGGAACTATAATAAATTATACCCAGTATAGCACCCTGAATAATAAATATATATGCGAAGCAACTTTTCTGTGTATAACAAAAGTATAAGGATATATATAATAAGCAATAACTTTCGTTTCAGCTTAAAAATCGATCACTCATATCTAGCGTTGTATCTCTATGTATACTTGCCATAAGTTTGAAGATGGTTTTTCAAAGGTCTTAGTTTAAAAAAGAAACAAAATAGAATAGAAATCTAAAAAATGCGTTTTGGAGGGACATATCTGAGTGTGTTCGAAGGATGATTAGGAGAACCAAACGACTGCTGTTTTGAAGGCACTAGAAAGTAAACAATCTAAGAAAAAATTACGTGCAATGATAGGCGTTTCCGGTAGAAAATATAAACAGATGTAGATCCACAGACTTATTAATATGAGAATTCGCATCGACAAGAATCAGTGCCACTGGAAGCAGAAAGAACTTTGTAACACAAAACAGTCACAACAATCTGCAATAAGCTTGAGACAGTTACGCACACTGGCTTTTACCAGTTCCAAGCTAGCTTTGCTCCAACCTGAATCCGCCAGCCAGCAGAGCCCTATATAATTATAATATAATAATTGCAATTGGGAAATTTTGAAACATTTATTTGGGAAGCTGGCCAGCTATATGCAAAGTCTAAATACCTTTTTCGCGTATGCCCTTTACATCTGTACACATCTGTACTGATTGTACACGTCACTGGAACTGGACAGCAGATTTAGACATCTGCTCATTCATAATCCCTGATTAACGCGTATAATAGTAATTGCAGGACGAAGCCAAAGTAGTGCACTTCGTTTCCACATAAAAGCGGAGTAACGTTATAAACGGAGGAGGAACCAATCGAAATCAGTCGCAAAGCCCTTCACGAGTTCCGAAATCGCAATGGAGTGGATATCTTCGGAATTTCAAGATCAAGCAGTGCAATTTTGGCTTTCGCCCTTTATTAGATAAGTCGAACACAAAATCAGCAATACACACAAAGTAACAAAGAGTTTAACATTACTGCGTACATAAACACAGTGTTAAAGATAGGACCTAAGCAACACAAAATCGAGATAGGTAGTATTTTTTGGCTTAAAGATAAAGATTTGTTGTTTGTTAATAGCGTGTCTGTCCTGCCCTTATATCGCCGCATGCAAATTGCATGTGGGATGCAACGCTGATTCGTGAAGGGATATGACAAAGCATATAGAAAAATATACTTTTTTTTTTACCTAGAAGACTTAAAAAAATTTTATTATAAAATCACGCAACGAAAATAACGTACAAGAGACACATCTATTTGCCAAATTAACGCAAATCGAGATGAGCTGCGTCGCTACGGGCGGGCCTAGAAATATAAACTGCAAAAAATATGAATGGTGGCAGCTTTTTAGAACAATTTCGTCGATATACAGAGCTTTTTCAATGTATTCTGTAAACAGACTGCCTTAAAACGTAGCAGGGAAGGTTATGTAATGTATTAGCGAAACTTCGTGCAAAAATTTTCTCGCCCACCGTTGAAGCTCGCTTTGATTTGCCCCGTAGAGGCCTTTCAGTAACCTCAAAGTAAAGTTGCTGACGGTAATCATTTCCTTCTTAGTGTTCAACTTGTTTTTTAGGTCAGATTTAACAACATTTATTTATAGAGGAAAAAGCCAATTGTGGATTAAATACGCCAGGTGATGGCATGCTCAGACGGTCCAATACGTTATCAGTAAACCCTGAACTCTATCCTGTTCCCGAAAAAAGCAATCCCTGCTGCTTTCTGTACAAAACCTCATATGCTCTTTACGTAAGCCTATGGTATACTATTATTCGAACAGTAAGTATATCAAAGATATTAACTCAGTAACAGATTCTATGAACCTAATAAATGCAAATTCATAGTAAATCTTCCAAAGAAAGGACTTTGAAATCGCGTTGTTCAGAATAGATTTACTTTACAGATAGACTTACTACTCCTATATTCATGTTATCTTACGCATTTCATAAACAGTAACTATCTAGTCTTGATATGATCTAGCAAACCATTACATGAAGACATGAATCATACTTGGTGGTCTAGGTGCGCCTACGAAGTTTGTTTCGTGCCGGAAAGCGGCTACCTAACGTAGTGACCAACGGTTTAAGTATCAGACGTATGAGATGAAAAACATTTAAACTATTGCCAGAAGGGTACATTCATAAAATTATTTGCAAATTATATCGTTTAATAATATCATTTTAATTCTCAGTCCCTTAAACCAAAAGTGTGTGAAAACAATACAAAAACCTTTCAAGGGGACATTCGTTTTTATAGATGAATTCCACGTAAAGTAGGATAAAATCCTTCGTAGTTTAGAACACAGCGTCATTAGATGCAGACACTGCTTTACCAAAAAGTATCAGTATACCGTGGTTGCTTGTCCACAACCTCCAGCACAACTAGTTTTGTACGTAACGGAGCGAGCTCCGAGAGAACTTCCGTTGTCTCTTATCATAGTCACATCCGGAAGGGGCTGCTACTAAAAATAGTCTATTTATAGCATGTGTCGGAGAAACTGCCAGGAACGCCCTTTCAGAAGTTCCGAATGAATAGAGGCATATCAGATGAGCAATGCACTGAGTTGAACACTTGCAGCTTTGAAGACCGGCAACATATCACTTTGCCTTGCTTGACCTTTTCATAACAGCTGGCCAAACGAAACAACAATGGATCAACATGAAAATCGTTATCGCTCAGCATCCCCATGTCAATCAAAGATACACTTACCTTTAAGGTCACCCACTTAATCAATGAGCTGTAAATACTACTATTATTGAATAATCTAGAAAGCGCATTTGCTTTCAAGGAATACGCCATAATGGGAATCAAATAAAAAAAGAAACAATGTACAGCCCCTAATATGGAAGATTGTGTGTTGTATGTCTACTCAGAGGTGCACGTTATACCACACTACACGTTCAGTTTTTACATGTTATGCAAGATGGCTAAGCAAGCTTTGTATCTGTAAGCGCTGAATATGACTATATCACTTAGCATAAAAAACATATTACAAAATCAACACACGACCGTTAGGATACCATGCTTTTATTAGTCTCACTACGCGACAACACTTTTCTTAATAACGCATTTAACACGAGGAGTAATAATATCTTGATAATATTATGTTAAAGGGCATACTTGTGATGTATAGGTCCTGAAACGCGGCTACCACGAATTTCTGTATGGAATCTACGAATCCGAATAGACCAGCTCTTATCGTGCGCTTGCTTTGCAAATAAAGAACATCTAAAAATTGAAACTCAGACAGCTTATATTTGAATTTACCTTGTATCGAATTTATTTGCTTTGCCAATAAAAATGTAGCCAAGACCATAACTAACCAATTTTTAGGACCTTCATTGTCGCCTTTGATAACGTATTTACCTATGAACCTTAGAGATACAGAGGTAGCTTAGGTTTGAGGATAGGCTTAGCTACGCTTTGGTTTTCCAATAGATATCCTAGCACATGGAAATTATATAATTATAGTAACCATTTCTTTCCAAGTTTCTCACATTAAGCCCCGTACTCCAAAAGCTCTTTAAAGCAATGCTAAAAGAGGGATGCGTAGATCTTTTGTAGAAAGAACAGCGATGGCCAAGTATACAACTAATGAAGCTAAATCCATCATGTCCATAGAGATGCGTTTTCGTCCTTAAAATATAAAAATTTCGTTACACTAAGTTCGCTTAGTCGCCAAAAATAGCTAAATTAATACCTTTGATACGTTCTCTAACACTGAAAGACAGTATGATGATTTTTTATGGCATAAATGCTAGACTTCATAATTCTTTGATAGTTCTCTTGATCATAACTGAAAAGTAAACGGGCTTTTTACATTTCAAAATGCAATATTTTACAAAAAAAAAATTAATCGAATAATGAAATCTCAAATCTAAGCACTTCATATATCAACATCGTGATTAATCATGGTATACATCGCCACTTTCTGTAAATTTTGAAAGATCACACACATATTTTCTTTATTATCTTTCATTATTCATATGTATACAAACAAAAGTAGGTTGCGTCTAACTATTAATAATAATTTTTTACCGATAAAAACTGCAGAAATACTCACCGGCCAGGTTACATTTGTGGCTCAAACCATTATTCTTATCGGAATCATTAAAAGTAAACAAATCTGAAAATCTTGATCAACTTTATACGCTCTTTTTTTCTCCCGTGTTCTATATACGGTTTTCTACAATTTAATCTCCGGACCGTTTAATAATAATTTAATTTAGTTAAGTATCGCACCTAAAATCATTTCCATCCGAGAATATTATTGAGTAACTCAGGAAATCTGCTGGTGTCTTGGTCAGGAAATGGTACAAACACTTCATCCCGAACTCGCGTAATGGCCTCTTGCAAACGTGGAACTGTTACGCAAAGCAAATATCCTCCATCGTGCATTGCCTTCGCAAGCTCCCACTGATGGTTATCTAAAAGAATTTCGTTGATTACCACAATGACCTGCGTAAAAAGCAAAGCTCGTTACTGAATAATCAGCCACTGTACATCTGATTAGGTTAAAAGAAAGGGAATGCGAGTTCAAACCATCACATAAACTCACGATATATTTTATCTTATTTTACCGTATTGTCGCTGGAAGTACTCGTTCTTATTTCACTACGGTGTTGTTCCTATTGTAAGGTAAGAAATGAACTTTTCTGAACACATTCGCCTACTGTTTGATCTAACGCCTTAATAATCTTGTTTCAAACGTATGTGACGCGTGTAGGGCCTCAGTCTTCGTACCGTTTATGCGAACCATTAGCATGAGACATCTTTAAACTATTTGAACATGACGAAGATAAAGTTTACAATTTGGAGTACTGCTATAGAAAGGTACTTAAATTGAAATGTGTATAGGCGTATTGTTACAACAAAGTTATCAGTTGTAAATCCGTAACGCAGAAATGCGTTTGTGATATGACATAGTATCATCTTAATTAGGTTCTTTAGAAAGCATTCTTATAACAAATTTACCTTTGCCTTGCGGCACCGCACTGCTTCGAGAACGCTTCCTGCCCCAGCGTGGCATATAATAAGGTCGGCTGATCTCATCTCCTTGCTAATGTCGTTCTTATAGTCAAAACAAAGTACACCTGGTTGTTTTACTTTTGGAATCACTCCCGATCCAAACTGTACAGTAACATTTTCGTAGCCCACTGTCTGCAGAAGATCTAACGTCTCCTTTTTTGTCACCTCTGCAACTAATTCGTCGAACCTTGTCGTTCCAACAGTCACAAACGCTGTTTTTCCTCTCCTGTGCATTTCTGTAGATTCACAGTACGCTTTTCAAAGACGGCTATTCAACGTTGTGCTTCGCTTTAAAGATATTTTGTAGAAAGGCTAAATTGTCAATGGAACACAATTTAGATCAGCTCAGTTATGCCGGACGCATTGTTTGGTAGTTGGCCGCAGACCGATTTTCCCAGCTGATTGTATTTGTTTTAGATCAAAAGCAGATGATGTGGAAAGGGCTGTGGAAAGGGAACGATTGATGGGGAGGGTCTGATAGATTGCCCGCGAATTTTGTAGTCATAGCGAAGTGATACGTAGATGTGAAGCGGAGGCGTTGTGGAAGTTCTGCTCATAACAAATTTTTCATAAGTATATAACTATAAGAGCAAACAAAGAGTAAATTCATAGATGCAGTAATTGTTCAGTGATTACTATCGTTAAATATGCGAACTAGAATCGTACCCATTCGCCATGCTAGCTATTTTTCATCGACGATCAGCTAAAAAAGATCACAAAGCAGAATGTTGAAAAACTATAAATTGTTATGTTTCCTTTATTGCTACGATCTGTTCAAACTTTGATGCGTTCAGTCCTCGGTATAAACAAAAGTACCCTTTAATCCAATCCAGTGAATCAGTTTGTTGATCAAAATAGTCAACAAGAATATATATATATATATATATATATATATATATCGTAAATTACTTAGATTTTTTTTATAGCGACGGCAAAGTAACTTAGTTTTTGAAATTATTTTTAGACAAAGAAAGTATCAATTGGAGAAGAGATTGAACATCCCGCTTCATCTAAAAAAAAGATCTATAAACCTGCTAAACAAAAAAGGAATTCAAAAATACGTTGTGCAGGTTCTGTTTGCTGTTAACCGCAAGACTAAATCTTTTCAATACATGCTATTTCGTTCATATACAGAAGAGACTTACATGACTGTTTAAGAAGTTTGGCATTGAATACGTGACCAAATGAATGAAACCGTCAAGCAGTTCCTCTTCTCAAGTTAATATGTGTGTATATTTTTCGTTTGTCTTCAAATCGTACAGTTTTCAATTTAACTTTCACTTTCAATTAACTAGTTAAATTATTTTAAAATTACTTGTTTCGGGTTTCGATCCGTTAATCACATTACTCTACTATTCTTAACGATCATTGTATAATATGTTAAAATAGCCAAAATATCTGTGTTGAGCTCAAATGCAACACGGATCTAGATATTCTTAAATACCAAAGTTTATCTTGATTCGGACTGTGTTAGGCTGAAATGCTCATATGTTAGCTTATGTGACAGAGCCATATGCAGCACCTGCATCATTCGTTTCAATATAGAATTGAATAAGAATTAGAATATGTCCCTAACAGTAAATATAGATTCAGACAAGATTTCAGATATTAACAGGATCCGTTCACAAACATAATTTCATTAAAACCTTAAAAAAATGTTATGATTTTAAAACATGAAGCTTTTTAGCGTTTGATACACTAAGTCCACAGTGACGAAGAAATGACGAGTTCTTCTGTTTCGCCTATTGCGTTTCTGATCTTATATATTGTCACCAGCGTCTTTTACTGCGTATTCGGCATGTAGTCCTGCTTCTAACCTAATCAATTGCGTTTTATTTTCTATTTCAGGATGGTTCAATAGAATTTGAAGAATTTATTCGTGCCCTTAGCGTAACATCACGGGGCAACGTCGAAGAAAAATTGTTATGTGAGTATCAGAATTTCTACCTTCTTCCTAGTCAGAATACAAATTCAATATTCAGTCATACTTAAGCCATTCATCAATCTAATGTCATTGTTAATAAGTATTACATATTACGCGATATTACAACCTGAAACTATAACTGTTTCCCGCAGATATATCAATGAAACAGTTAACCGCGACACAAACACATTAAACTATAAAACGTTAGGAAGACAATTAAAAACGCCGTAACTTACTCCGCTAAGACAAAGATTTATTCCAATATAGAAACTGCAGCGTAGAGTCTCGTCCAGTTATATGTCACCGGACTATACAGGACTTTTAACATGATTTGGTACGAGTGTCTAATCAGTGTTAGAGAAACGCTGAATGTTTACACAGAAAGACTAAGCAGACCAACTACAATATACGTATTGCAAAAATAATACAGAAGCTCTTGCTTTCTGTTAATATTATTGATGACAGTAAGATCATCTTCTGACTAGATATGTATATGATATAGTGTTGAGCATCCAGACGATACGCCTTTGTCTTCATTACGTTCTCTGTGACACTACCCTGTTAGATCCAATTGCACATATTGTATTTGTTAGAATGGTCAAAATTATGCAATCCGTATACAGATAGATATTTAGCGGAGCAGCTGAATCGAGAATACAACAGGTTTTTCAAAAAGGTCGTAAATTCCCTGGTGTCTTTCAAATAAATGCATGTATCCTAGGTACGTGAGGCAGGCCTAATAAACGCATCAAAAACCCACAAATTTCGCTTAAATCGTTCTTGATTCGAAATGGCTCTACATATGGACATATAGAAGATTTAGAGACTGATAGAAATTAATTGTTCAGGGTGACGGACTTGCTCCGGCCGCTCAGCAATAGAACTAATGCTGACAAACCGTTACATTTGACTGTTGTTGCTGCCGTCCTTCCTGTCCTGTCCCTATTGTTGACGATGCTGAAGTCAGTCACTGTTCTAGCTAAGACCAGTGCTGCTGGATCAACGATCGTTAGGTCCGTTACGGGTGACCGTTGTTCGATGGACATCTGAGCAGGCAAACAACGGACGTGCTACAAATAAGCAACGGCAAAAAACATCAGTAGCAACGGTAGCCGGAGGTGAATTGTCAGCAGTCATTGGCCACTGATGCCGCTGCTGCTCCTACTCCTGCTGTAGTATCGGCCCGTGCCAGATGCCTCTCTCATTCGCTTAACAAACTTGCTGGCGGAGGCGGCGTCGAATGACGCGCGCTCACCGGCGTCGCCGACCCTACGGAACGGCACATGATGGACACACGACGTACGCGACATATGCGATGTATGTTATATACACAAGTATTTCCTCTCGTGTATCTTACAGTTCTTCAGACAGGAGCAGGACTAACAGCTAAAAAACCAAAAGACGAGAATTCGACCCGAGATAAACCTATAATTTCATAGTGAGCCAGTTGTTACTGACTTCTAGGAACGCTGCGGGGCTAGAAGGTTGTTTGTTTGTCATAGAGGTATATAATAGTCAGATTGTCAACTGGCTTCTGGCTCGGGCCCAATACGTCACTGATGACTGGCGTATTTCTTACGATCTATAAAGCATCGACTATTTTTGCCCAGTCGTTCGCCGTGCGACGACTAAACCGGCTTCTAACCAGTTATTATGCTGTCATCACGTGATGAACAAATGGATATGGAGGTTAGAAAAAACACGTGATAAGATATCTATTGCAGTCCTGAAAAGAACCAAAGTTATTATATGCGCACGTGAGACAGCAGGATGGCTATGCTGAATTGCAAATTGACTGGATGTAAGAGAAATTACCCTAAAGATGACCCGGAAATGCCTATTTTAGCTTAGTATCTACTTTCAATATATACACACTTGAATGAACATAACCGATCCTTACCGCGTGTGACAAAAATCTCTCTATTATAATAGGAGGGTAAAGACTAATTTCCCCCAAATCAGTGGAAAACATCGTTTTGTAAAGCTTGGAATAGGGCGCAGTATAACAGATGAACAATCTGAGGATCTTGTCTCTCTACCGTCATTGGCTAAGCATTATTACGTTGATGAAGAATTTCTGACGCTGACTGCTTCGCCATCTACTGTGATTCCCAGTTGTTATATATAAATATATAGACAATTCACTAAACATTTGAAATCAGCCAGAACGAAACGGAAAAAATTATCCACGCAGCGAGGAGGCTATTTTTCCCGTCTTCATTTTTCAGTAACGGCTCAATATTTTTCCATCATCTCAACCTCGGTAGGGAGATTTCTGTCCATACAAGCGTGTGTTGTCTCTTTGAAAAGAGGTTTGTGTAACCAAAATGGACCGACCAAAGTATTCGGCACGCGCCGGCCCGATTTACCCAACAGCAAAGAGCACGAAGGATCCATTCGCGTCTATTGAATCACCGTCGCTACTGCTCCTGCGATCTAGTTAGACTCATCGAATCGCTAGGTGGCCCCGATTGGCTGAAAGCGAGTACTTCTCCTGCGCACGAGTGTCTGCGTATATGTATCTATAGTACGGGGTGAGGAATAGGACCCGACGGCAGATGGTCAGTCAAACGCTAGCTGGCTGGCTGGCTGGCTGGCTGGCTGGCTTGTTGCTCGAGAGCGGCACAATAGGCTTCTGAAGCAGTCGCCTACTTGGCCGGCCCAGTAGGCCTGGCTGAATCGGCCGGTCCACACGTTAGACCAGAACGAGACCAAACGATATAGAAAGCGGAGAGGTGATTTGGCAGCTTCAACAGAAACACGCTAGAAAAACTGCCACAACTGCTACTAATACTATATGGAACTATTGCCTTGTACCGAATCGCTACTTTGTTGTAGTCATAGTTGTTTGATCTGGCTACTTAGAATTACTGAACTTCCAAGTACTTCCCTTTATACCGAAAAATTCTAATCTCTGTTACTACGAACGATATCCTAGATCGAACTAAAGTGATGAGAATGCTGTTAATCATGACGGATTTACATATATACCTGCTACTAAAACTGTGTATTTGTTTTCATGCTCCACCCCTCCTAATCGATCCCTAAAAGTTATTGGATTGGGCTGCTTTTTGGCGAGTTGCTAGGGCTTCACTTTAAGAAGAGTTGCGCGAAGATGAAGTCGGTCGGACAGATACTATAGGGAGTTTGTTTTTTTCATCTCATAGGGCGTAATTTGGGTAAATTGCTCATTAACGAAATGGCAGTCGAATGTTTCCATAGACGTTGACATAAGGAGCAATACATGTCTTCACACTCGAGTCGCAATTTACACGTTGAAAACATTCCCCGAAGGATAAAAGCTCATGTCCTCTGTGAAGGGATCGTCTTCAATATCCACCGAAGGTTGAACCTAACTACATCAACATGTTCCTGTATCTAGAATTGATTTTTCCCCATGAAAATAGTCAAAAGTACATTGGAGAGTTCGTCTCGCCTGCAGAATAGTTGGCTGCAAATATGTCTGGAACGACTTTTGAATGAACTTCAAATAAATGTCAGTTGGAATCTGGTGGCAGCTAGCGTGAGGAACATTTCCTGAAGCAATCCTTTCAAAAATATTCTTTAAAATTCTTGTAACGTCTTTTTGACTTCAGTTGTTTAGATTGTAATCAACTGAGTAAAAATGTAATATATCTTAAAGTTAAAATTGATATTTTGGCGAAAAAACGGCAAAAAATCGAATCTGATAGCCTCTCACTTGTGTGGCACTGCAGTGAAAACTTTTTACATCGATGTTTATTTGGGGAAAGCAGGAAGTAGTATATCGTGGACAATCGAAGGCTCTCGATAGGCCGAATCAAAATGCAACACATGTTCAGATGCCTAAATCTCAATTGTTAACTTGAAAACGACATCTTTAAGTGTGAGTGACGAAAATCATGTTGGTCCTATCGGTCTGTCTATGTAACTGTAGGGTAAAAGTGCGTTGAAAACTGCGTATTTGGTAAACTGGGACGGCCAATAGAAACGGGTTGATTTTCGGGAAAAAAAAATGCTAATCGAACTCTAAAGAACAATACATGTGTGTAGCTGTTTGTAACTATGTGTAACTAACGATAAATATCAAAGCCTTAATGACGTGCCAGGTACAGAGTCAATGCATCGACCGAATTGTATGAAATAACTATATATTCCTTCTTACTACCTATTATAAAGTTGGAAAGCTTTATATTTTGGTGACGTACGAAACAAAACGTCTATTTTCATCTAGAAAAATTAGCAGCGGCAAACATAGCCACCCTTAATTCTATGTCATACGTTATTGTTAATTTTTTCTTGAAGGAAAGAAACTCGAAACACTGTCTAAGCTTCGATGACATCCCAGGAGCCGAACTAATGCCTAGTGGACTTTATCCATAGCAGCATCCATTATAAGTCGGCTATCTTCGTTTCGTTAAAAGCGATTCAGGTATCTTTCTCAGAGGTCGGCCCAGCGCCGATATTAGTTACGGGCGTCCCAGACACAGAGTCAATCAGAGCCAGCATTACGAAAAAAAAACAAACGTTGTAGAAGTGTACGAAAAAGTCAACATGTCCTAGTCAGCCTAGAGTTAGGCGGGTAGCTTGGGAAACATTCGGACAGATCACAGAAAGGTATAGGACTAGCGGGAACATGGGAAGTTCTACTCGTATAATTGTCGGTGTGTAGTTTATAATAGTCTATGTTAGGTATACGGTATATATATATATATATATATATATATATATAAATTTATGTAACAATGAGTTGTTATTGCATAATTATTTCAGTGATATATAGCACCATAAGTATATCTTTCATTTATATACATATACGACAGACCTGTGGGTTTCGCTCCATATATATATATATATATATATATATATAAATGAAAGATATACTTATGGTGCTATATATCACTAAAATAATTATGCAATAACAACTCATTGTTACATAAATTTTAAATAAAATACTTCCTATTAAAGAAAATTTAATAAAGTAGATTATAAAGTTACTGCTTAAAATTCGTCCGTTTAATTCAAAAAGTAAAACACAGAAAGGAAGCAGATTTGTCTAAGCGATACTAGAGTTACATGTAAAGTCACTGATCTAATGAAAAACAACTTTATCAAAGCCATAGACACATGGACGTGCAACCTAAATGTTATACAATAGAACGACTTGCAAACGTCTTACCGTGAGCCTGTCTTGAATTGTTCCTTTGTTTAACGTTATTCAACCGCCTGACGCAGATGGCGAAAAGGCACCTCATCGTTATATACACACGAAATGTTGTACATCGATGTACATTTCGATTAGCAAGTGGAAGATTCACGTGCCATACATACAAATCCGTTTTTTGTTATAGTCCTACCCGAGTATGGCCAAATACCGCGTGCTTTAACTCCTAGGTAATAGCGGGTCTGGTAGACTGAAAATGATGGTGGTGGCAGTGCAAACTCTACGATCTGAAATCTCGATTTAAGCAACACAGTCCGATCTATTCCGTTGTACTAAAAGGTACGCTACAGCAACGTGAGTCAGGCTTCTGTTTTTGGTTCGACCATTATAGCAAGCAGTTTTTATATGTTTACATTGCCTGTTATACGCTTAATATAAAACGATAGCAAAGTTGGTGAGTTTTCATTTTTACATATTGTTATTTAAGCATCATACAATAACCCCCCGCTTATGGACAGAATAAATAGTAGCGATGATTAGATCGAGCAGCTAGTTAGAAACAGATTGAAGGGACGCAGACGGAACGTCTTGCAGCTTGTGCACCATCACACGATACAATGAATATCAAATATACATTATAAATATATACTGATACAAACTATACCTGTACTTTTGTAATCAGCAAACAATGCTGGTATGAGGAACGAAACTTGCAGGACAGTCGTGATCGACCTCGCTCGAGGCTATGAATTTTTTTCCCACAGAACCATTGCTATAAGTAAGTAATACTTTCTCATATAGATTCATGTCTAATAAAAATGGGTTCGCAACAAGTGCAACCAAGTAACCAAGCCACAGATTTGGTATGTCCATCGAAGTGCTGCCGGGTTGTTTGTCGGCAGCCAAAAAACAGCACCGCGGTAGCTCACGGAAGAAATCGCAAATCCAAAACGCTGTGAATTCGCTTAAGGTTCGTGTTTTTAAATCCTTTCAGAATGTTTTTATCCTTTTTAAATCCTAAGCGATCATCAGCAAGACGTTCCATCTTCATTGTTTCATCGTTTTCCTAAAATAGGTCGTTGAATTATCCCAGTTACCCGGGTGATACACTGTCAATGCGTATCAGCACAATTGCTTGACGGTAATAATACAGACGACCGTAGCTTTCTGACATCTATAATTGGTCTAGTGAGACTACAGAAATTATACAGAGAGTCACTTAATATGTTAGAGCTTCGTCCAACAGTCTGGGTTTAGGGTGCAGGCTGAAAAAATCTAATTCGACACTGATTTGCCTGCCACGTTGGCCGAGCATAAATTGCAGAACAACTTCGGACCAAAAAGACCGTTGACTACGAGTGTCTTCTGCAACGGGACTACAAACCGTACCTCAATACAATTGCTACTACATGTGGTAGCAGCCGTTCTTCGAACGGCAACGATTTTGGCCGCCGCCGCTGATGCTGCTGTTTTAGTCAAAGCCAGTGAGTTAGCAGTACCTAGCAGCATCTGCGGTGCGGAAAGCCTGTGGCTTACCACGACAGTAACGTTCTTACCTCGCCGCATTTGCTGCGGGAATACACCAATTCCATTATATTAAGCACTCTTTACAGCCACACGAAGACCGAATAATATCAGCAATGAAGAATTACTAGAAGCAGTCGTACATTGGAATAAAATGAAGTCGCGTACTTTTATCTCCCCAGAATCCTTTCGCGTTTTAGCTGCACACATAAAAATGATTATTTTAAAGAAAGTCAAATAGATAAATCTGACAGCCTCTAATTTTCGCGCTTCCGATGGATCTGCGCGCCAAACACATACACGCACAGTCACTGAGCGAATTAAATGGAGCCACCTAAAAAATTCACACACAGGCAAGCTCGATCAAAAACAACCCTTTGTGGTTACTAACAGTACCATCTATGATGATACTATCACTAGAGGAAATTAAGAAAAAAGAAAAGAAAGCTCATTCAGAGACTACAATGTGGGGCCTCCCACCACTGCTGCAAACGGCTTTTGTATGAATGCATTTTCGGCCTGCCTCCGCCAAGGCCGGGTAGCACTTGGGGCGCAGTGATCTCGAATTGTGAAATGCTGCTGATCGGCCCGACTCGCTCTTTCACATGATACGACACATTTTCGATTGTATCTAACAAATTCATGTTAATTTCTGGGCCAGAGGAAGACCTTAACATCACTAGTGGTAAACTGCTCAGAAACACACTTCGCCATACGACATTATATAGCCTACCATGCACAAACTTGTAACTCGCACTCGGGAATCATTTTCGTACCTGGGAGAGCCTGTTCATCCGAATTATTTCATTGTACTGTCGCTTTTCCAAAAGCCTCTGACGAAATGGATAGATGAAAATCATGGTCCACACCATTATTTTGCTCGGATGTTTGACCCGCTGAACTTCACAGGAGCCGTGTGCCGCCTTCCGCCGAAGCGTAGACGCATTGAGCTAAACTACTGATAAACTCAGAATGCGCTTCATCTGAAAACCCATACTTTCCCAGTTTTCAACTGCCTAATTTAGAATTGTTTGGCCTACTCAAAACGCGCATATTTGTATAGAACGTCTAGCGGAAGCTTTTCGGCTGCTTTACGACAGCTAAAAGCGGTAATTTCGATACGACGTCAGAGGGTCCTTACAGGGACAGTGACTCTACGGTTTGCCACCCCCTGATGCAGTTGAGAAGCCATTACAAATCGACGATTTTTTTTGTGACGCGTCTCCTTGCTGCGTTTTGTTCGACTTTTACTTCATTCCTTTTTTGATCATGGAGATATCTTTTTCTTTACGTTCTGGGCTACATTTTCAGCTGCACATACCAATACCCATTATCTTTTTTTTGTCGCAATCGCTTTCCCTTTGTATAAACCTGGCTATTAGAGTCCACTATTCTTCTGTGAGGTTCTTTAGCAACTACATTACGAGTCCATGTGAAGTCATAAAAGCACGAAGATCATTGGAATTTACTTTAAAGTAGTCTGTGATCACAACAATGTCGTTGTCATCGGACCAATGAGAGCAACGATAATTGTCGCACTACATCTATTTCCCTCGGCAAAAAAAAGCGGCAAAAAAATAAATTATGCCAATGCTTTTGTATCACACGACTCAGAAAGTGCCCTCCCTTCGTCACTCGGCTATTACATAAACAACATATTAGTAGACATTTAGCTCGGGTGCGGAGATATCTTCGATGAAACTTAACAGTGCGTGGGATTTATAAGTTGTTTTATTAACTGTCTATCTAGTGCCAACAATGTTTACTAAAAGTTGTTTAGGAATCAATCTAGAGCGTTTGCTTGCGGCAGGCGTCGTCGTAGCATAGATACAAAACTGATAACGAACGCTTTATTACTATTATTATAGATGTTTTATTTCTATGAAGTCAGACAATCCGATACGGGGAATTTACGTTGATCTATTCTGCCCACAGGGCGTCCACATATTGGACTTGCTTAATGGTAGTTCAACCGACCACCCGTTATTCATTACCACCATTGTGACTATCGGCGAGTTAACAGAGACACGCACAGTCATTCTATTCACGTATTTTATATATATATATTTTGGAGGGCATAAATACACGATATGGGCCCTTATGCTCACATTATAATGATTGTGATCGTTAGCGATATATATATATATATTTATCATCCATTTGACGGTTTCTGTCGCAAAACAAACGTACATAGTCGAAGTTGGTTACGTGAGTTTGTTGTGAGCTTTTTTCCTTAGATCTATCCCGTGCCTTCTTTTGTGAGGAATTATTTTTGATCGTCAGAGATCCTTTTGATCCTCTATTTATCATCATTGTGTTTGTTACTGTCCCTTTGACCGCTTTCCGTGTATTCACTGCATCCATGTCGCTATTTGCTCGAACGCAATTCTTCTTTCAGGGGCCTTTCGTCTGTATGACGTGGATAATGATGGCTTCATTACGCGCGAAGAGATGTACAATATTGTCGATGCCATCTACGAAATGCTCGGAAGCCAGGAGAAGGGCGAAGAAGAAGAAGACGACCCACGTGCACGTGTAGATAGAATATTTGAACAATTGGACAAAGTAAGTTTATATTATATACAATAGGCAATATTTGACACGCACACACACATCTTTGTTTGTGTCAGATATTGCCTATGAACGAACCCTATTACCCGATACAATGAAGCCAATAGAAAAAAACCTAAGGTGTTTACGCAACTCGACACTTTGTTTGTCTTTGGAAGTAAACGATAACGATGCGTTCCAGTTAATTCGAAGAAAAATTATCTTAATATGAGTACAGGCGCTTCCAGTCGCTCCTTTCCCGTCCCTTATCTGCGTCCTTTATTTCAGTGGATAGAACAATTCTCGTAGATAGGATATAACGACCAGTCTTTGATTCTCCTCCCTAGCAAAATTGGCAATAAACTAGTCAGAAGCAATATTCAGCTTCCTGTGAGTTCGTTCGCAGAACGGTGAAATGCAACAATAGGCTACATAACTACTTCTGGTTGGTAGCCATAAAGTTATCGTAGTTACTTGCTGCTATTCTTTAGTTCCTCTTTGATTGAATGGATACCGGCTATACTACATGCGGGAGCACGCCAATGATTCACAATATTCAATATGTGTGTCGCGTGTCTGCTGTATGTGTGCACCGCTGCGTGCGTTAGTGAGTGTACGTAATATTTAGGGGGTGGCACGCTAGCGCTGCTTCTGCTGTTAATGTTCTTGCCGCCTGACCTGTTATGGCAGCGGCGATCGTCGTGGTATGTCGATAGACCAGGGGCATCTGTAGTTATCGGTGTGTTACCTTCATCTTCGGCGTCTCCTCAATTTGGGCAAAGCGCGCAATTTGGTCGGACAGCCGCTGCGGAGTCAGGCAGGGCAGCGCTTGATCAGACACCGCGGCCATACATATCATACCCTTAAGGCGCCTCTCTCGAGGAACTTCGCCACAGCGGGACGACCGCTGACTGTGCGGTTCCGCAATTCTTCTATACTTTCGTTATGAAAAGAGCTAAATCAGGCCAGACGAAGACGGGCTAGATAAACCTGTCGTATATATCCATGTTCATGTATGCGTGTGCGTACGAGTGTAGTCACCTGTGGCGGCTTACGTAAACGTCTACGAGAAGAGCTCCGTGTGAGAAGCTGATCATTTGTTTGCCGTTCGACTAAATGTGTAGATATAGGTTTAGCCAGTTGATCGATTCTGGCTGAATTCGTAGTTGGTAGAGATTCGATAAGAGTGTCAACAATAAAAATAAGATTCGCTGGTTAGAGAATAGGGATTATAAGAATGAAGAGGACCACGCTACTTTATAACATCCGCTTGTGCCATTAGGGGCTGCGTCAAATAATAGTAAACGGCTATTGTAAAACATGGCTACCACAATTAAGAGCCACTAGATAATTTAATAGTAATTTAAGGATATTGATACAGGTTACAATTGGTCCTTTCGGCCTGTGTTATTAGCAATTAATCACTTTCGAAGTATCTCTATAGAAGACTCTGTTATAGTATATCCATTAATATCAATCATCATTTATATATATATATACTGCGAAAGCCTATATTCTCACCGGACTAAAATCGACTTCACCATCTCAGTTGAAGAAGTATCCTTCAATGTCATTCCCATAATCGAGAAAAACATAACATTTTTCTAACGATTTCGATTCGTTTGTCATCGTCTGTTTCACTTATTTCAGAATCAAGACAACAAACTCTCTCTAGAAGAATTTAAGGAAGGATCTAAGCACGACCCGAAGATCGTTCAGGCGCTGTCGTTGTACGCGCCGTAGAGTGCCAACAACGTGTCCTGCCCGATAATAACCAACAAAAATAGCGCCTCTAATAATAATAATAATATCATATAGTATTAATGGCAGGTAATTAAATGCAGTAATAAGAAACAGTAGTAGAAAACGAGCCGACATTGAAAAAGTAAGAAGGAAAGGAAAATTCAACAGACGACGCCGTTAGATGAGTACAAAAATCAGATACTTATAAGTGCAATCATGACCATAGTCTAGTTATCAGGAATAACTAAGGTGAACCAATCAATAACCAGGTTAAAATAATACAATAAATATGGCTGACATATATATAAACAGGATACACAGGAGGCGGTCATTTTCGTCGTCAGAGATACCATGAATCATGATACTAACGAAACACAAAAGTAAGAATACCACACTAGAACGCGAACGTCGATAGACGAGCCGCTGCGCCCCAACCAATTCAATGCTTTCAACAAAATGTCGGTTCCTTATATACCTAGATTCTGTGAGATTCGTCGACTCTGTTCGATTCAATTACCCCGAACCTGTATGTGCTCTACCAGGCGCAACCGACTACAGATTTGGTCAGGTATTACCTTAAACTGGCAAGAACGTCCTTTCAAATCATAAATATGACGATTAACAGGTAAAAAATTGAATTGATAGTTTCAAATGAGATTGTCGGTAATTAGCAGGAGATAAAAAGAGAGTTGGAGACTCATCTTCGTTCAAGGTGTTTGAAGGAAACTCCCAGGCCGACCGATTTGGGTCGGGGGTTCCTAATCAGTCAATCAGCCGTTCGTTCGTTCGTTCGTTCGTAGCGACTAGTAACTCAATATCAGCAACAAGAAGACAAACACTAAATCCAATCACCGCTTGTTATCATCATTCATATTGTTACCATTTATATGCATATAGACAGCTGTTTTGACTTAATAACTATTCGTGTAATCCGTGACATTTTGCGCTACCGAAAAAAACCATGGCCATTGGCGGGACTACGGAACAATTTTCGTGAAGCAACATCCACAACAGAAACTATTGCTACTGCTTCTATAACAAGTATTCATTTATATATAATAACGCTACCTATAGTAATGCAAATAGATAAGAACAATAGCAACAGATGTGCCAAAATTAATTCTCTACATATCTTCAATCTTCATCATTGAAACTGACGTAATCCAAATTAGACGCCTACGATAAATAATACCATTAACTGTAGGAGCTAAGAGTGAGGTCGTGTAAAAGGTACTTTGTCATAACATTGTCAGCGCTGAATGAGTGTCTTCGCTTTGTTGGGGCACAACGTCTATTCAATCAAATCTATATTATTTAATTGTATAGCCGAACCGGAGCGTGTTTATTGATTTCACGCGGATAGATATTTGCCGTCTATTTACTCAGATGAGCGTTTGTGCAGAAGAGTGCTCGCTCATTTCCAGCTGTCGACGGTGCGTACATTTGTACATTGTAACGCATTGAGGTCGCTATCTGATATTCGAGTTCCAATCGTTTCCGTTTCTCTTTCATTGGTCGAATTGGATCTATAGTTAACAATGTGTCACTTGCTTAGCTGTCAAGTTTTTCAACTTTGCCGATCAGTTCGACAGCTATCGTGAATGGCGCGGGAAATTCAAATCGAATCTAGCCAGCCGATTGCTTTTAGGTTTTTGTGTTAATAACGGTAATCGCACGCAACGTTATCTAGATAGAAACCATGACCAGACAGCCCAAGTAGAGTTATTTTAAATATGAATATAAAAAATGCTGACGTCTTTTAGTGGCTGGGTCACGACAAGCAAACGATGTTAAACTGCAGAGCTAGTAACAGTGGCGACTTTGGTCGTTCATCCGGGAACAATTACAGACGCCGCAGCAAAAGACGGCCGCGCTCAGGCCCAAAGGCGACTGTCCGCTATTTCCTCCCCCATGATAATGTAAATATTAGTCGGTCTTTCACTGGCCTCAACTAATGGCATCAGCTGGTGGCGGGAACGCTATTACGACAGTAATAGCTCCTCTGCAGCATTCCACATAAGCAGCAGCAGCAGCAACAACAACAGCAGAATTTGTTCGATATATCTCGCCCTGCTGGTCCATATGACGTCCGCGTGGACCGACGCGATGGCAGGCTTTCCGTAAAATTGCTAGTTGGTCGTTCACCCATCCTGCTTCCGCTCATCAGTGTCTCACTTGAATAAACCTCAGCGGCATCAAACGCCCGCTGCAGTTGAGTCCACTGCTGAGTATGTCGGCCTCAGTTTAGGACCGGCTTTTTGCCGCTACTCGTTATGGCTCTTTCATAGCCTGCGCGAAACATGGTCGATTCTCTCACTATCCTGTTTTATGTTACATATGCTCGCTATTTTGACACTACCACCTCCGCTGATCACGAAGCCTCTAACGACGATGATGTCGCTAAAGAGAACAATGAAAATCGCCAAGCTTGCCTTTTCCATCTTTAAACCGGATCACATGTATAGCTGCTGCGGTATTAGCAAGTGCCAAACAAAGAGCAGTGCTGCGGGGACGAGAGGAGCAAGGGCCAACTAGCTCTATTCTATTTAACAGCTCTTTCTCTCAATTTCGATTCCTTTGATCCGTTTCGCTCTTCCCTCAGATTCTTCCTGCACTCTTTCGTGCCCTCGAACCCGATCTCCTCATCATCTTCAACTGGTCCTTGCAGAGGACAAAATTACCTCGTTTCTCTTTCCTGTTGTTTCCTCTTGTCCTTTTTTGTGTTTCCGTTAGTACACTGTTGATGACTGCTGCTGCTGCTATTAGCACATGTTTCATTGCTGTCGCTTGTTGCCCTTGCAGCTAATGCTGCTCTCGCTGATGCTACCGTCGTCGCTCCTCATCGCCGCCACAATGGTCCGTTCCACAAACGTTAGACACGGGCATTTGTTTAGACGTCGCCTAAATTATACCCTGCCACTGCGAGCTCTTTTGCATGCTCTTCCGATCAGAGGAACGAAAACCTTCACCTGCATAAACGTACCGTCCGCAGTGGCAGAGTCTTATGGTCGGCCAGATACAGAAACTAATATTCATATGTTCAAAGCATATTCGTGCGTGCATTTTATGTACGCGAAGACATCTACCTGCCTACTGCCAACTTTCATTTAAGCAATGTATGGGTCGCAGTACATCATAGCAAAACGTCGAAATGATGCCACGCCGCGGGTCTTTTGCAACAACAATGTGACTGAGTGAGCCAACATGTGAGTGAGTGAGTAAGTAAAAATCATGATCACGGTGGCCAGCGTTCGCATTCCGACCACGGGAAGAGTTTGCCCACAAACAGACTTTCTTCCCTCTTTTCTTGTTGCTCTATGAAAAATGTTCAACTCTCATCGGCTACGCGATGTTATACGTACGATGATGCCCCACGCGTAGACGCAGTAGATCTTCTGCCAGTAACGCCATAGATGTCCATTCTCGCTGTCGTGGACTGCTGTTACGACCGTCGATGTTGCCGCTATCGACAACAACAACAACAACAACAATAATATGATCGTTACCCATATAGCCTTTGTTATTATTATGGAAACAGCTTTAATTTAGCCTGTTCGACGCGAACCGGTGATGGGAAGAACGACTGTCCGTAATATCTTACAGATGTTTCGTTCGCTATCTTGCCATTTAGGTTTTTGTTGGTCTATTGTAATAGAGTCGCAGCAGTGAGCCGATATGGCAATAGGAAGCCTTTTCTTACCTAACCATTGTATCTACTCTACGTACAAGGCGGCTCGTACAAGTTAAAAATGCGTTGTAAAACGGGAGCAAACGCAAATGTTTTTGGCGAAAACAGAAAACGTAATACGCATCTAGCTCTCTATAAAATCAACTCCGGATACACAAAAGCTAATGCTAGATGCGAAAAAAAAAAAAAAAAAAGAGAGAGAGAAAACTGAATTTCCACTCAAATGGGTAGAACCACAAATGTCCAATAAATGGGCTAAGGTAGCCATTGGGTTCATAGAAAACAAAGAAACAACAATAAGTCTATGCAATTTTATAGAGTATTGGGCATATTTGCATTGTAGGGTATTGGTATCTATAGACAATATTGGCAAATTAGTTGACGACAGTGTATTTTTAGTGTAGTTTTATAAAGGGTTGGTTGAAGGGTGGAAGTTTGATGCAAATGCTGAAAGAAATTATTCATAAGGATGCTTTCTTTTTCCTTACATTCTTTCGATATGGAACCAACAATGGAAGCGGCGGTAGCGATGATTGAAATAACGGCTAAACTACCTTCGATTGGCCTCAGCCGGAGACGGTTCAACAACCGGATAAAGATGTCGTCGTTGGCATCAGTCGTCCGTCTCCGAGATCCTTTAGCGTTTTTGGCGCACCAATAACAGGCGTCGAACGATATTTGGCAACAGATTTGAGTCGTACTATATCATGCGACAGCCGTTGCCGGTGGCATTCCTTTGTATTGAGATGCATCAATGAACATCATCACTGCAACAGCATACGGATTTCTCTCGTTCGACATTTTTTTTTGCCTCTGCGCTCGCCCATATTCGAACAATTCTTGTTTTTTGGCCGCGTCAAGCACGCGAACGACGAGTAGCTTCGCAGTGTTTTTGTTCTTACCTTCTTCTAAGCCAGTATCGGTGGGCAGCAGTACCCGCCCAGGCCGCATCATAACAGATGAGCAAAGACTACGTAATGGCATCAGCTTCAATTTTTGGTGTCGGATAATCTACGTTTGCTACTACCGCTAGCACACGGATACCGACCGCCACAGGGCCGTCGTGTTCAGGCGTATCGAACAGGAGGTCGGGCAGACTCTTTCGCCTGTTAACTTTTGCTTGCTCTACGTACGATTATCTGGGTTCGAGGACCACCCAGTAATTTGTCGCTGTTATTACCAGCTTTGTAGCACGTTCTCTGTGGGAATAGTTGAAAATCTTGCGACAACGATCAACGTACCTAACCTAAACAATCTATGAACCTGTTTCTGTTTTTGGTAGCTGCGAGCAACGTCTGCGTACTGTCCCGAAGAGAGCATGGCTAGAATACTTAGGTGGAGTAGTGAAAACACTTTTGTCAGTGGGTTTGTCCGAATATCAAAGGTGACGTAATTACGAAAACGGACCAGATACCCAAGGCGACGACATCAACAGCCTATTCAATTACAAACAGTGGATCTGGAGGAAAAACACTGTTTGGTTACTTCTCACAACGAAAGATATTTTTTGTACCTCCCCTTTGATTAAATATGCTTTTAGTTATAGTTACCATAGAAGTAGCTTGTCGGTTATGGCATGTTACATCACACAGTAACGTGCTTGAGCGCGTGCAGAACCATGGCTGGCTTATCTGATATGTGTAAAATTGATCACGATGTGTACGGCATCGACCTGTTCGAGAAGAAATCCTACAGGAGCACATGAACTAGAATGAGTGCTTTCCTCATAAGCAAGATGCTCGTAAGCAATCAAAGCGAGACGATGCTGGCAGTGATTATGACAGAGAAAAATGGCGGTTTTTAAACGACGTTCGGTAGATTAAAGGGCACAATAACAATATAATGGACCAGACGTATTGCGTACATATATAGACGGACTATTGATATTCGCCAAAGAAAGACACACATAAGTGTGTGTCTTTTATTGGTTTAGTGACATTTAATACTTATCAAAACTACTCATTTTCGCGTGTATGTTGACCGAATATCGAATCGTTCATAGTTACGATGCAGCGTTCATACATAGAAACATTAGGCCACCTAGGCCACATAAGTGGCCACGAACAAGCACCAAACCTGAGGTGATCGGGGAACATTGAGCGATTTCCATCCGAGTCGTCCGAAGGCCGCCAACATCTGCGATCATCCCCAACCAGCGTAGCGCCACAATCCGAAAAATGCACCAAAAAAATATCCGGAAACCCATTCCAAGACCAGCCACAATGCATACTACTACTACTACTACTACTACTACTACTACTACATATCAACTACGTCCGAACGAATATTAATTAATTAACCTACT